CACTACAAGACGTACCTCAGCCTAAACTTGACCAACATTTGCATTATTAATTTGGATATACGATTGAAGAAGCTAAAGAGTATGTATTCAGTAAAACGTTCCTCGTCCATATACCATTGTTGAGTTGTGTTAGTAAATAAGAAAATAATGATGCTGAAATATGTTATCTTGAAAATATCGATTGGCAATCAACATGTGATATTGAACAAAGGGGTTCGACAGTGTAAAGTAGGAATATTACGATTACTGATAATCTCTGATAATGAAAAATTAAGTTCCTTATATTACTACCTCATGCAAGTTTACCGATTGCAAATACATTAAGTAGGAGTGCTGTCAAATGGCTAGGTTTCTGTTGCGAAATGATGTAGAACGCTCAAAGTTTTGACGGTGGTCGAAAGGATTTTTACTGCATCTAAGAATATCTCGAATGTATGTTTACAAATGACATACAGGTGATTGAGTAAGTCTCAGAGGATATGAAAAGTTTGTACAAACTTGAATGAATTGAATGTTGTCACTGTAATTGACTTGAATGGCGCCATATGAATGATGTTACGGGAATATGAGTAGTTCTGAAAACATGATTTGATAGTTACTTTGTAAAGATCAAACTGAAAAGCTAAAAGTATGTTATTCAGGGAAACAAGAGAAAACAAATGAACTGTCGGTTGATCGGAGTTTATTTTGCCAGTCCGCGCCCTCATATCTGCATCGGTTCTACCTTGGTTGTCGATGATGCTGCCTAGATATTTAAAGGTGTTTACGTCCTTCAAGGCATCTCCATCAAGAATGATTTGGTTGGTGCAGATTATGTTGCATCGAAGAATTTTGCTTTTTCATTTATGTATGTTGAGACCTGCAGCTGTAGAGGCTGCTTCTACACTGGTCGTCGTTTCTTGCATTTGTTGTTGCGAGGGTAATAGAAGAACCAGGTCATCTGCGAAGTCCTGATCGTCCAGCTGCATCCTAGTTTTCCATCGGATACCGTGCTTTCTTCCAGATGCTGACGTCGTCATAATCCAGTCGACCACCAAGAGAAAGAGAAAGGGTGAGAGTAGGTAACCTTGATTTATACCCGTCTTCGCCTCGAACGAGTTTGTCAGCTACCTCCATGCACGATTTCGCAGTTTAATCCGTAATCGTAAGAATTCCGTATGATGTTGACTATCTTCTCAGGCACACCGTAGTGTCGAAGAAGCCTCCATAGGTTTTTCCTGTCCGCGCAATCAAATGCGTAGAGTAGATTGAAGACGATTGTACTGCCACTTATATCCCATTAATAGAAACAGGCGTGAGTAGGTAGTTGAGTAAGATCATGGGAATATGTTTCACCGAAATTCAAGCGAATTCGTTTTCTCATTTCAAGTGCAGATGCACACACTTATGAATTGTTCATTGTGAGCGCTATTTCATAAACCTCATATTAACAACCTCACTATGAACAATTCTGTTTTACCTCATTAACAATCCCTGATTCGCCTGTGAAACGTTTGCTCGATTTTCTTCACCTTACACCTGTGCACCGTTTACATTATTAATTTGAATATACAATCTGATGAGGATTTATTCAGAGGAACATCCCTCTCTCATACATTGCTGTTTCATTTGGGTGGTAATTTTGCATAGAATATGAGATCCTTGTTATTGCCATAGGTTGTGCTGAGAATTGGATATTATACTCCGATATTGAATAAAGCTGTTAGATGTAACAGATTAAGGAATATTACAATTATTGAAAATGCTGAAACAGTAACATTGAAAATGTTGCTGTAATTTACTCTTTGTGTCAGTGACGCGGTCTTAATGTGCTATCAGAAACTGACTCTTATACTTAATTTAACTGCGCTAACTTTTACAGTAAATATCAGAGCATTTGTGACAATCTGATCTAGCCTGTAAACTTACTTGACTGTTGTAACGTAGTTATTTGTGAGTAAATATTATTATTATGATTATTATAATTCAGATACTGGCCCCTTCTACCGCAGACATTTACGGATTATAGTAGCATGAATTAGGAGATCGGTTTTAGGCCTTGGACTCTGCGTTATCTCACTGAAGAATACCTGTATTTGTTATTATGTTAAAATTTGTCTAGTCAGGAAAGCCGTTTTCTGTGCGCAACTCACTGTAAACCAGTCGACGTTCAGATTATCAATAAGTCAAACAAAACATTGGTAGTAGTAGATCAATATTGTAAGTGTAATTATTACATTGTATATATATTGTTCAGTGAAAATCCTTGATTATTGTGTTTCTCGTTTCTCTCACCAGTAGTCTATTTATTATAACTAGAAACTAACTAATGAAGGAGATTCACTGTAGAGTATACTCACAATGCTCAACTTCCAATTAGAGTGTTTATCTACTTCTACCAATGTTCAATAGTTTCTGAATTCATAATTAAGTATACAGGTGAAAGGTATTATTGCATTCACACAGTGCTTCACTTGAGTGTGTCAATGTATCAGAGTGAACAATATCGTTAGATGTAGGCTCTCATATTATGTGCGATATTTGAAATCAGATTGATAATGTAAACGGTGTAAAGGTTAAAGGTGAATAAAATCAATCAAACTTTTTCTGGTGAATTAACGGTTATTTGTGAATTCAAATATAATCGTTGCCAATATGACTATTAGGAAATAACACTAAAAACAAAGGATTCAGGAGTTTGTTCATCTGCGCATGAAATTGCGAAAACGGACTCGCTTGAATTTCAATAACACGATTTGCAACGAAATAATGATCTACAAAATCCACAGTTATCGATTTGCTTACTGCTATCCCTCATGAATACACGCGCTATGTATCCACTTGCATTTGTTAGTTACCGGTTGCAATCTAACTCGTGAACACGTGGTTTCCTTGCATTGTTTTACGGTCATCAAACACCCATATCACTACATGCGCTTTGATATAATGACACCTGTATTTGCGTCAGCAACTTACAGATGACTGTGCTCTGCATATCGCCCGATGCTCATGTTTCATCATCCTAAAACATTTACTTGATGTTTGCAGGTGATGACTAAATCGATTATCACCGATCTATTTCATTGTGCATACATGTTTCACATCACTGAACTCGTTTCTATATCTCGATATTTACGTCTGTTACAGTGAACTTCGAAAATTGTTGCATGCATCCATTTATCATTAGGCACACACTTCACGTCACAAAATCCTCTTCAGAATACCTCCTCTTTATAATAATCCAGTAAAACCAGTAGTGAATTCTGTAGTCCAACACAAACACTGTTGGAGCACATATTACATCGATTCATGGCTCAATGCAGTAGTAAAGACATACTGATAAATTTATGGACTTCTTTCTTCGCTTCTTCACCTACCGTCATCCAGCTGACTAATCTATCGCGCTCTAATTTATTCACATCATTATTGCTAAGTTCTAAAATTTTCATTCTCAAACATTTTCCCTGCAGAAATTGTTGCAGAGCTCGCGATTCTGACATAAAGGCACGTTTATTGTGATCGTCGTTGACGACCGATGGATATGAGTTGTACTATATTTTACGTGAAGGCTATTGAACAATCCTTAGGCTGTTTCAGTCTAATATTCTTGTTCTATCTTCAGGTTACTGAAGCTGCTGTGTGTATAATTCTTTGTTACTTTGCTTTCCAAACTGTTGCTCTGACTGCAGATGATGCCCTGAGTTTGATATGGATGCCGACACCACATATAGGAACTGCTTGATCACCTGAGCCTTGCAAAGGTGTATGATTCCCATCTATCAAATTTGAAAACCGAGTTTTCAAGTAATTACTTTTCGTAAAATTTCCACAACTCACTTTGCAGGCTCATCGAATTTTTTCTAGTTGCATTGAAATCATTCAACTTTAGGCTTCGACAATTTAAAGGCAGGGGTTCAGTTTTTATTTCGAGAATCCAGGTCACGAGCAGAATCGAGACAGTTCAATCTAATCAGCTTTGCTTCTCCCTTGCAGCTCGAAAGGAAACTGGCTAACGCACACGTTTCACTTTCAAGAGATGTAATATCAATCACGGCCGAAGTAATCGTATTTCTAATGAATAAGGTTAATACTTAACTTCCATTGCATTAATTTATACTGGCTGAGGTGACATTAGCTTGAACAAACTTTTGTAATTTCCTCGCTTGTTTGCGACGATTAATTCATAAAACTAAGAATGGAATATGGGATCGACATACAATTATACCACAAGTGCTTTCTCACGGAATGTTATTTTATAGTGTGAATTTCTTACGTTTTTGTGACTTTCATTATCCGACTTTATATTAGAGTTTTTACACTACCTCTTCAGATGACCCTATCTTGATAGCGCAATCGAGTATGATCACTACTAGTGCGAATATGAGCTCGTCGCAGAGAAAAAGATATATTATAAAATAAATAATATATTTCCTAGCGATTTCGTGGTATCGGGGGAATACCGAAATCGGACTGAAAATGTGAGTCAAAATTACAGAGATGGAGCAGTACAAACGGCAGCAACACAAACAGAATGTTTGCGCGTAAAGAGTGTTGTGAACATAAGGTACAGTTAAACAATCACTGGTCCCATTGAATATAATAATAAAATTGCTTCAATTAAACCAGTTGCGTTCTCCATTTACAAATAGATTTTGTACACACTCTTCGCAGTTCCTTTCCCTGACTGAAAACGAAATAATAGAATAACATACAATAGTTCAATGAAAAAAAATTGATCTCAATATACTGCAAGTCATTCACACGCAAAGACTGTGTTTGTGAGGCTAAAACGGTTGTTGAAACTCAGTTTGTGTATTTTTATTCGGTTAACATGAGAGTAGACACAATATGATCGATTATAACTTCCACGGTTTATCAGTCATAAGTTGGAAATCGTGAATACCCGTATTGGTATAATCTACTGAATAGGGCTCATGAAAGCCCAGCATAATATTCATAAGCATATCATTCAAACACTGTTATTACGAATAGAATAAATGTGATGTATACTTACACTGTCATCAGATATTCCGCAAAGAATTCGATTTCAACAGTGTGAACCCGTATTCATTACCATATTTTTCTTCACGTGTTTTTACTTTCTTAGAGTTGACAGTCGATGTGTTTTCTTCTCCTTTAGAATCGTCATACTCATCCTCTTCACCGTCATCTTGAGAATCTTCTTCGTCCTCTTCGTCCTCCTCTTCTTTTTCTTCTTCTTCAGATTTCTCTTTGTTATGGTTTAATTGTTCTGCTTTCTCAATAGCCTTCTGTTGTGCAAAACTATCTTTGGATATTTTGACGTCAACTTTATTATGGTCTACTTGGTCTGATGAATCTGAATCTACAAATCAGATCAGTATATCATAAAATCACATCGATTTGTAAGAAAAAAACATTCATGAATGTAAAAGAAATATATCAGATTGATATTTTATGTGTCAACTTGTATGAAGAAAACATATTACTCATAGTTACTCAATGTTCATATTCAATAAACATTATTCTGGCGAAATAATCACTTATCTAAACACAGTGACAACGTGAATTTCACTTGAAAATTGTTATTCACTAGTTATATATAATAGTTAATCACCAAGCTAATTTTATCAAATCAAATAATTTATAACACTGATATTATCAAACGAAATATGGAATATTTCAAACGTACGTCTGATTGTGAATGCCATTATCAAGCATATAAAATAGCAAATGTTTAATGTATGCATGTTGTTTCTGTAGTGAGCGTAGCTGAAAATGGAGCGAATAAACTGGTATGCAAGTATCCATCTAGTTTTATATCTGATTCGAGCCAATAAAATCAAATGAAATTTTTCCGTTTGTAATTGGTGTTCTCATCATAAAGACTAAGTAGTATTTCATATTCAATAAATATTATTCTAACATGATAATCACTTATCTAAACACAGTGACAACGTGAATTTCACCTGAAAATTATTATTCACTAGTTAAATACAATAGTTAATCACAAAGCTATTTTTATGGGATCAAATAATTTTTATCAGAGATTTCATCATATATTTTCATTGGTGTGCTCGTGATAAAGTTTACACAGTTTTTCATTGCAGAGAAAGCACATAATATGGTCATTGTGGAACATGGTGAAACATGTAATAATTCGCCACAACTAATACCACTTGTGATGGTATTACGTTGACTGGTTTCACGAAATGGTGATTGTATTATCGAATGATGCTCTGCTGTGTGGACTGATTATCTCCTGAGATTCGCGTTGTATGTGTCTGCGGAAATGCAAGTATACACTATCGTCTTAACATTATTAAGAATTGCGATGTTTGTAGTATTTCAGGTTTTTCTGAAATGTATATTTGCTGACGAACATGGTGTTTTCGTGAGTGTGAGTGAGTGAATCTGAAAACAGACAGATGTATTGTGAGCAACATACATATCATTAATAAAAAGTAAATTTGAATTCGATAGTGGCAAATTCGGTCTGCTTACGTATATTGGTATGAGAGCTGATCAGGCAAGTCCGATTTGCATTCAGGCTGAATACTGATTGCTTGTTATAAACAGAGGGTATTTAGTGTGTAAGTATTCACCAATTACCCATCATCATGCTTTAGATGCATTGAATTAAATCTAATGATGCAAAGATTTTAAGGTTTCGCTGGTTCTTTCACAATAGTTCGCGTCGAACTAGCAATTATCAGTCGTCAACATCACTTCTACATGCTATGGCGACGTAACTCGTCATGACGACTCATGTGTTGATTCGTGCCTATCCAGCGTCCGACAAATATTACACAAATCGTGTGCCATTTAAAACAGTCAGCGCTGTTAGTACACGATAATCGGAATTTGTGGTTTCGATCGCTTTCACGAATCAGACTACCGAGTTCACTCTCAGTGAATTGAGAGCACTTCCACATACAATTGAGTTAGTTCATATTTTATTTGGTTCAGTGTTTTGATTGATTTATTTAACCAAGTCATTTGTATAGCAATAGCTTATATGTACCAGGTGCTTTTAATGTTGTCTCGTTTGTGTGAGCTAACGGGACTGAAAATTGCTTACCGCATACAGGCTTATGTATCCCATTCGCCTTATTATTAACCTCTAAAATACTTCGATGACTCAGCCATTTATGTATATATATATGTATAAATATATATATTTGTTGATTTTAATCTTAGTATTCCATTCACTAATTCGCCCAGCATACGGTTGCTTGACTTCCGGCATTCTCATATCGATATTCTGTTTGTGTGTCTGTGGTTTGCTTTCCTAATTGTGGTGTACCGAATAAACGTATTCAGCATTTCGTATTCGTCTTCTGATTTATAAACAGTTAGGCACAATTTAGTAACTGTTGTGTGAGCCGGCATTTGAATTTTTTGTCTATTTGATATTCGCTGATCGGTTCAGTGTGTGCTGGTTATTAATCTCCGCCATTAAGTGTCTTTGTGTCTGACTGTTCGAAATCCTCTTTTCGACGATCGAGCAATTACTGTATATTGTTCGACAACTATTGAGCTGTTGATGTCATTCTGAATGTGGTAAACGGTGTGACAATTGCGAAGAGCCTTTTGGACATCTTTACGCGAATTTGAAATCTGCAGCTTTCCTAAGGCTCTGCAAAAACAAATGTGAGTCTTGACCATCAATAGAACCTGAATGGAAGTAGCATGTCATACGACTCCATTACACAGGTGAGCTTTATCGAGGGAAATTAGTAATCCGAATATATATTATTCTGATGATGCCGCCATACAGATGCGTAAATCGATGTGAAATAATCCTGATCAAGAGAGGTGAACAAGAGGACAAATGAAATAATGTCACCTCAGTCAGAAATCAGTGACGCAAAGGAAGATAAGGAGTAACCTTATTCATTAGAAATACGATTCATTCAGCCGTCAAATATATATAAATGTATATATATATATACACATATATATATATATATATACATATTTATATATATTTATTTCTTGATTTTATTCATTATATTCCATTCACCAATTCGCTCAGCAGACGGTTGCTTGCCTTCTGGCATTCTCATATCGATATTATGTTTGTGTGTCTGTGGTTTGCTTGTCTAACTGTGATGTACCGAATAAACCTATTCAACATTTCGTATTCGTCTTCTGATTTAAAAAACGTGAGCTAACGGTCATCTTAAGGGGCAGTTTACAAACTGTAATATAAAGTCGGATAACGACGGTTGCAAAATATGTAAGACACTGGACACTACAAATAAACCTTGAGCTAGAAAGCTCTTGAGGTATTCTTTTCGCTAAATGGCATATTACATTTGTAATTTTATGAATTTATCGACTATTTTCTATTCACTGTACAGTTCCGTTCATGCGAGTTACCAGTTTCCATCATTAGTTGTCTTTGTACCTGATCGTTTGCAATCCGGTTCTTGATGATCAGGCAACTTATGTATATAGTTTGACAACACTTGAGCTCTTGACATCATTCTGAACGTGGTACATTGTATGATAAGTGCGAAGAAATGCTGCTTTCTAAGGGCTTAGCGAAAATAAATGTGAGTCCTGACGATGAATGAAACCTGTATCGTAGTAACATGTCTTCCGATTCGATTCACTGTTGAACTCTCAGAAAGCAAATTTGGTAAGCCCAATATAAAATGTTCTGATGATGTCACTATGCAGATGCGCAAATCGATGGGAAATGGTCGCAATTAACCTGGTGACCACAAAGAACTTGATCACGCTAATGTCACCTCAGCCAGAACTCAGTGATGCAATGGAAAATTGGATTTAACATTATTCATCAGGAATACGATTCCGTTCACTGTTATCGACATTGTATCTCATGAAAGTGAAAAATGTGCGTTATTCAATTGTCTCTTGAAATGCTATCGACAGACGACGCTGATTGTCATGCTTTATCTCGACTGTGCTCGTGAGGTGCATGAATTGTCGTTGCAGATGCGGATTCGACATTTGAAAGAAAGGCGTTATATATTTTTACAAGGCTAAATTGACCAAGCAGATCTAACTTGTACTGTTGACATCGGTATCAACACTCATGCATCATCTGCAGTCAGAGCAAATGTTTGGAAAGCAAAGTAACAAAGAATTATACACACAGCAGCCTCTGTAACCTGTGAGAGAGATCAAGGATATTGGATTCAAACAGCCTAGGGATTGTTCAGTAGTTTTCATGTAAAATATACTACACGTTTTACCATTGATCGTCACCGAAATTCATGCGAAACTTGCCTGTGTGTCTGAATCGCGAGCGCTTCAACAATTGTTGTAGGGAGAATGTGTAAGAACGAAAACGTCAGAACTGAGCAAAAATGAGACAAAATGAGAATAAATTAGAGCCTGATAGGTTAGTCAGCTGGATTACGGTTGGTGTAGAAGCTAAGGAAGAAGGTAATAGAATTATCAGTATGCATTACCTACTGCATTAAGACATGAATCGAAGGAATATGAGTGGTGTGCAGATAACTGCATGTTCTTAAGCTCGGTGGCCAATTTTGTTGACCTTCGGCTCACCAATATGTATGGTGGCCAATTTCGGTGACGTTGGGCTCACCATTATGTAGTGTGCCGATAACTGCGTGTTCTTAAGCTCGGTTTATAAATCGGAAGATGAACTCGTATTGATGAATACGTTTATTCGAGGCACACCACAAAGCGAAGCGGAATTGGAGAAGGCTAAGAGCCAACTCTTAGGATTACATTTCGAGCGAATGAGCGAAGCGAATTGGAGAAGGCTAAGAGCCAACTCCTTGAGATAGAACATGACTAAGAATATATAGTCAGATAAAAATAAGACAGACATATGACAAGCGAAATAGGTGTGCACACACATGAATAAAAGCGACGAATGATTGACAAGGTCAAAAGCAAGCGATACAAATCATGTGAGTTCATGGGAATATTAAGAGATTAACATTAAAGCGAAAAGGATGAGTAAGCGCATAGGCGTAAGCAATGCTCAGTCGTACAAGCTCATACAAACCAGATAATAAAAAATACCAATGGTACATATGAGTTGTTGCTATAGGAATGGCTTGGTTAAATAAATTAATCGAAAGGGCTTAAGCAAATTAAATGTAAGCGGATGCAAATACATGTGGAGGCACTACATATGCACTCCAACATTATTTGTGGTAGACTGCAGAATTCACTACTGGTTATACTGGATTATTATAAAGAGGAGATATTTTCAAGAGGATTTTGTGACGTGAAGTGTGTGCCTAATGATAAATGGATGCATGCAACAATTTTCGAAGTTCACTGTAACAGACGTAGATATCGAGATATAGAAAGGAGTTCAATGATGTGAAACATGTATGCACAATGAAATAGATCGGTGGTAATCGATTTAGTCATCACCTGCAAACATCAAGTAAATGTTTTAGGATGATGAAACATGAGCGTCGGGCGATTTGCAGAGCACAGTCATCTGTAAGTTGCTGACGCAAATACAGGTGTCATTATATCAAAGCGCATGTAGTGATATGGGTGTTTGATGACCGTAAAACATTGCGAGGAAACAACGTGTTTGGAAACACATACACTTGAATTGTTTGTAGTGAGCGCTATTTCATACACCTCATATGATCAACATCAACATGAACAATTCTATTTGAATTCACAAATAATCGGTAATTCGACTGAGAATGTTTGGTCGATTTTATTCACCTTTAACCTGTACGCCGTAAGCATTATCAATTTGACGTCAAATTTCTTATAGAATATAAGAGCCTACATCTAACGATATTGTTCACTCTGATACATTGACACACTTAAGTGAAGCACTGAGTGAATGCAATATTACACTTCACCTGTATACTTAAACACGAATGTGCAAACTACTTAACATCGGTAGTAGTAGATCAATACTGTAAGTGGATTTATAACATTGTAGGTATAATGTAAAATGAATATGCATCGTTATTGTGTTTCTCGTTTCTCTCACCAGTAGTCTATTTATCATAACTAAAAACTAACAAATGAAGGAGATTCTCTGTAGAGTATACTCACAATGCTCAACTTGCACCTAGAGTGTTTATCTACTTCTATCAATGTTCAATAGTTTCTGCATTCATAATTAAGTATACATGTGAAGTGTAATATTGCATTCACTCAGTGCTTCACTTGAGTATGTCAATGTATAAGAGTGAACAATATCGTTAGATGTAGGCTCTTATATTCTATAAGAAATTTGACGTCAAATTGATAATGCTTACGGCGTACAGGTTAAAGGTGAATAAACTCAATCAAACATTCTCAGGCGAATTACCGATTATTTGTGAATTCAAACAGAATTGTTCATGTTGATGTTGATCATATGAGGTGTATGAAATAGCGCTCACTACAAACAATTCAAGTGTATGTGTTTCCAAACACGTTGTTTCCTCGCAATGTTTTACGGTCATCAAACACCCATATCACTACATGCGCTTTGATATAATGACACCTGTATTTGCGTCAGCAACTTACAGATGACTGTGCTCTGCAAATCGCCCGACGCTCATGTTTCATCATCCTAAAACATTTACTTGATGTTTGTAGGTGATGACTAAATCGATTACCACCGATCTATTTCATTGTGCATACATGATTCACATCACTGAACTCCTTTCTATATCTCCAAATTTACGTCTGTTACAGTGAACTTCGAAAATTGTTACATGCATCCATTTATCATTAGGCACACACTTCACGTCACAAAGTACTCTTCAGAATATCTCCTCTTTATAATATTCCAGTATAACCAGTAGTGAATTCTGCAGTCTACCACAAATAATGTTAGAGTGCATATGTAGTGCCTCCACATGTACTTGCATCCGCTTACATTTAATTTGCTTAAGCCCTTTCGAATAATTTATTTAACCAAGCCATTCCTATAGCAACAACTCATATGTACCATTGGTATTTTTTATTATCTGGTTTGTATGAGCTTGTACGACTGAGCATTGCTTACGCCTATGCGCTTACTCATCCTTTTCGCTTTAATGTTAATCTCTTAATATTCCCATGAACTCACATGATTTGTATCGCTTGCTTTTGACCTTGTCAATCATTCGTCGCTTTTATTCATGTGTGTGCACACCTATTTCGCTTGTCATATATCTGTCTTATTTTTATCTGACTATATATTCTTAGTCATGTTCTATCTCAAGGAGTTGGCTCTTAGCCTTCTCCAATACGCTTCGCTCATTTGCTCGCATTGTAATCCAAAGAGTTGGCTCTTAGCCTTCTCCAATTCCGCTTCGCTTTGTGGTGTGCCTCGAATAAACGTATTCATCAATACGAGTTCATCTTCCGATTTATAAACCGAGCTTAAGAACACGCAGTTATCTGCACACCACTCATATTCCTTCGATTCATGTCTTAATGCAGTAGGTAATGCATACTGATTATTCTATTACCTTCTTCCTTAGCTTCTACACCAACCGTAATAAAGCTGACTAACCTATCAGGCTCTAATTTATTCTCATTTTGTCTCATTTTTGCTCAGTTCTGACGTTTTCGTTCTCACACATTCTCCCTACAACAATTGTTGAAGCGCTCGCGATTCAGACACACAGGCAAGTTTCGCATGAATTTCGGTGACGATCAGTGCTAAAACGTGTAGTATATTTTACATGAAAACTACTGAACAATCCCTAGGCTGTTTGAATCCAATATACTTGTTCTCTCTCACAGGTTACTGAGGATGCTGTGTGTATAATTCTCTGTTACTTTGCTTTCCAAACGCTTGCTCTGACTGCAGATGATGCATGAGTGTTGATACCGATGTCAACAGTACAAGTTTGATCTGCTTGGTCAATTTAGCCTTGTAAAAATATATAACGCCTTTCTTTCAAATGTCGAATCCGCATCCGCAACGACAATTCATGCACCTCACGAGCACAGTCGGGATAAAGCATGACAATCAGCGTCGTCTGTCGATTGCATTTCAAGAGACAATTGAATAACGCACATTTTTCACTTTCATGAGATACAATGTCGATAACAGTGAACGGAATCGTATTCCTGATGAATAATGTTAAATCCAATTTTCCATTGCATCACTGAGTTCTGGCTGAGGTGACATTAGCGTGATCAAGTTCTTTTTGATCACCAGGTTAATTGCGACCATTTCCCATCGATTTGCGCATCTGCATAGTGACATCATCAGAACATTTTATATTGGGCTTACCAAATTTGCTTTCTGAGAGTTAAACAGTGAATCGAATCGGAAGACATGTTACTACGATACAGGTTTCATTGATCGTCAGGACTGACATTTATTTTCGCTAAGCCCTTAGAAAGCAGCATTTCTTCGCACTTATCATACAATGTACCACGTTCAGAATGATGTCAAGAGCTCAAGTGTTGTCAAACTATATACATAAGATGCCTGATCATCAAGAACCGGATTGCAAACGATCAGGTACAAAGACAACTAATGATGGAAACTGTTAACTCGCATGAACGGAACTGTACA